TTATTAGCATTCAACCAGAGTGCCAACATAAGTCTTTGGAACTGTACAAATGTATTTAATACTGGATATAAGTATTATACGTAAGATTTACATGACATGTTACTAGTTTACCAGAAAGAAAAAGACCTGCGATCCTGCCAGTGTAAAACATTAAAGAGATTTCTGTTTCCCACCTGTATGAGACGACGATTATTACATGTATATTATTATTATTATTATTATTATTATTATTATTATTATTATTATTATTATTATTATTATTATTATTATTACCATTACCTTTATTATTATTATTCTTATTGTTTTCATAATTTTTATTATTAATTATATTATGAATAGTGGTATTACATGTATTATTATTATTCTTTGTTATTATTATTCTTATTATCATTGTATTTAAAGGTAAGCGCAAAACCGTGGGAATGAAAAGTAATCATGTACTGGAGGATAATTGGAAATTATGTACTTTTGTCACGAATCTTTCGCCATGAACAAGGCACTTGGAAGAGTGGCTCGTATGGATGAGTCTGCGGTAAAACACTGTTGGCGACGCGCCATCACTACAGATTGATGGAAATAAATGGTATAAAATACCGACACAATGGAAATATAAACACAAATGCAGTATAATGTGATCCTTTATTGACAACGTTTCACCCACGCAGTGGGCTTTTTCAAGTCACACACGGATCTACCTGGGGTTGGAAGGTACGGGAGTATTTATAGTTCAGAACGTTGAGGTCAGGTGAAGATTGCTGCATCAGATGATCTACCGGGTGGGGTTGTAGAGTCTTGGGTAGCTAGGCGGGGATATTGGACAAGTTGTGAGTAGACCTTCTGCAGTGTTCTATGTTCTTATGTGGGATAGCGATGAAGAAGTTTCTTGGCGAGTGGTTCAGCTATGTTATAGAAGCCATTGTTCTGGTTGAAATTGTTGGTTATAGAGATAAACGATGATTCCAGGATTCTTCTGTATTGAGTGTTTGTCTTCTGTGGCTATAAGTCTTGAGTTTCTGTAGTTAATTAAATGGTTGTGTGAATTGCGATGTTGTACACAGGCATTCCTTGTATCGTCAGTCTGACGATACAAGGAATGCCTGTGTACAACATCGCAATTCACACAACCATTTAATTAACTACAGAAACTCAAGACTTATAGCCACAGAAGACAACACTCAATACAGAAGAATCCTGGAATCATCGTTTATCTCTATAACCAACAATTTCAACCAGAACAATGGCTTCTATAACATAGCTGAACCACTCGCCAAGAAACTTCTTCATCGCTATCCCACATAAGAACATAGAACACTGCAGAAGGTCTACTCACAACTTGTCCAATATCCCCGCCTAGCTACCCAAGACTCTACAACCCCACCCGGTAGATCATCTGATGCAGCAATCTTCACCTGACCTCAACGTTCTGAACTTTAAATACTCCCGTACCTTCCAACCCCAGGTAGATCCGTGTGTGACTTGAAAAAGCCCACTGCGTGGGTGAAACGTTGTCAATAAAGGATCACATTATACTGCATTTGTGTTTATATTTCCACTACAGATTGATATGAGTCTATTAAAGACAAAGCTCAATGTCAGAGTGACACATCCAGGCCGCTGGAACATGTTTATGGCATTAATGGCAGCCACAAACACCTCACCTCTGATCCAGATCATGAGTAGTGGGTGTGAGTTTTTGTTGCTGCTGTTGCTTTTACTGTTGACGTTGTTGCTGTTGTTGCGGTTGTGATGGTGATGGGGTAGTGATGGAGGTAAGAGTGAGGTAACGGTGACTCTGGGGATGGGGTTGGTTGGGTGGTTCCTGGTTGGGTGGTGGGTGGTTGGGTGGTGGTGGTAGTGGTGGTGGATGGTGGGGGAGGAGAAGAAAGTGGTGTAAAGGGTTGATGAAGGGGGGAGGGGGAAAGAGTGACGGAGAATGTGTTGGAGGGAGGAAGGGTGTTAAGGAGGATGACAGGGACGGAGGTCAGGAGGGAGGGCGGGTGGTACGGCAGGAGGAAGGGTAGGAGGTAGAAAGGTAGGGAGGGAGGGAAGTCAGGGTTGAGACTTTCCTGGTGGCTGATACAAGTCATAACAATACCACGTGGTGTGTACACGTGGTGATCCCCCCCCCCTTTCTGTTTTATCAGTGTGTTCAGTTAATACTGCGTGTATGTCACTAGTTCAATACTGTATATCACTAGTTCAGTATTGTGTGTCACTAGTTCAACAGTGTGTGTATGACACAAGACATATTTTTTCTAGTCTCTTTTAATAATTAAAGTACTTCTGAATGTTGGTACACAACCGAAACGACGCCTTGGCTTCTAACCTTACAAACATACGATCATTGCTCTGGTTCTACACTCGGTGTTTCCTTCTCTCTGTCTCACATGCAAAGGCGTTAAGTGCGTCACTCGTAAAACTGTAGTATAAACAAAAAACGAGAAATACGAGGTTGCTTTCACCAAGAATTCACACATCCGTGTGTTCCCCTGCAGGTGCCTCTGCCCTTCTGCGGCCTTAGTAAGGCGAACTGGTGGCGCCAGAGTGTGTGACGGCAGCGTGACGAAGCTTAGTGCTGACCTCCTCCATCACAACACCTGCCTGAGTGCACGTTGCTCTCACATACATCCTGGGTAACGTCTCTTATAACAAGACCTGCCTGACGAAGTGCACGTCTTCCACACCCGTCAGGGCATACCTGCTAAGGTGTCTCCCTCGTACCACAAGACCCGCTAGGATGTCTCGTACCACAGGACTTGGCTGCTGAAGGAGTATCCCCTCTATCACAGGACCTGCCTGCTGGGGTGAACGTCGCTATTTTCCTCTCTGTGTAAGTTCTTGACTGAACAGTGTGCAGTTATTCTTTGGCTCAGCTGCAGCACATTTTGATATAATGTTGGTATAATGTTGGTATAATGTTGGTATAATGTTGGTATAATTGCCACATTGTTGAAATTTAAAGTAAATTTCTGCTCACCACTAAATATTTTTGTTCAATTCGGGTCTGAGTGGATCATAGAAACGTTACTAGGTGGATCATAGAGGCGTTACTAGGTGGATCATAGAGGCGTTACTAGGTGGATCATAGAGGCGTTACTGGGTGGATCATAGAGGCGTTACTAGGTGGATCATAGAGGCGTTACTGGGTGGATCAAAGAGGCGTTACTAGGTGGATCATAGAGGCGTTACTAGGTGGATCATAGAGGCGTTACTAGGTGGATCATAGAGGCGTTACTAGGTGGATCATAGAGGCGTTACTAGGTGGATCATAGAGGAGTTACTAGGTGGATCATAGAGGAATTACTAGGTGGATCATAGAGGAATTACTAGGTGGATCATAGAGGAGTTCCTAGGTGGATCATAGAGGCGTTACTAGGTAGATCATAGAGGCGTTACTAGGTGGATCATAGAGGCGTTACTAGGTGGATCATAGAGGCGTTACTAGGTGGATCATAGAGGAGTTACTAGGTGGATCATAGAGGAGTTACTAGGTGGATCATAGAGGAGTTACTAGGTGGATCATAGAGGAATTACTAGGTGGATCATAGAGGAGTTCCTAGGTGGATCATAGAGGCGTTACTAGGTAGATCATAGAGGCGTTACTAGGTGGATTCATAGAGGCGTTACTAGGTTGGATCATAGAGGCGTTACAGGTGGATCATAGAGAAGTTACTGGTGGATCATAGAGGCGCTACTGGGTGGATCACAGAGGCGTACTGGTGATTATAGAGACGTTACTAGTGGATCATAGAGGCGTTACTGGGTGAATCATAGGCGTTACTGGTGGATCATAGAGGCGTTACTGGGTGGATCATAGAGGCGTTACTGGGTGGATCATAGAGGCGTTACTAGGTGGATCATAGAGGCGTTACTGGGTGGATCATAGAGGCGTTACTAGGTGGATCATAGAGGCGTTACTAGGTGGATCATAGAGGCGTTACTGGGTGGATCATAGAGGCGTTACTGGGTGGATCATAGAGGCGTTACTGGGTGGATCATAGAGGCGTTACTGGGTGGATCATAGAGGCGCTACTGGGTGGATCATAGAGGCGTTACTGGGTGGATCATAGAGGCGTTACTGGGTGGATCATAGAGGCGTTACTGGGTGGATCATAGAGGCGTTACTGGGTGATCATAGAGGCGCTACTGGGTGGATCCAGAGGCGCTCCTGGGTGGATCATAGAGGCGTTACTGGGTGGATCATAGAGGCGTTACTGGGCGGATCATAGAGGCGTTACTAGGTGGATCATAGAGGCGTTACTAGGTGGATCATAGAGGCGTTACTAGGTGGATCATAGAGGCGTTACTGGGTGGATCATAGAGGCGTTACTGGGTGGATCATAGAGGCGTTACTGGGTGGATCATAGAGGCGTTACTGGGTGGATCATAGAGGCGCTACTGGGTGGATCATAGAGGCGTTACTGGGTGAATCATAGAGGCGTTACTGGGCGGATCAATAAGGCGTTACTGGGTGGATCATAGAGGCGTTACTGGGTGGATCAATAAGGCGTTACTGGGTGGATCATAGAGGCGTTACTGGGCGGATCAATAAGGCGTTACTGATTGTCAGGATGTTACAAGAAAAAAAATCGACGTGTTTGTTAGCACTGTGTGGTAGTACAGTATAAAGAAAAATAATAGTCAGTCCTTTACATACACCAAGAACAAAAACGCCTATTTAAATAATCTGCATTTTTTTAAATACCTCGTATCCTGAAGGAGTTACATTGACTTTAGCGAGGTGAGGAATTTACACTGAAACAGTGAGCTTCAAGGTCTTTCTATGGAGTCATATGCTTATTGTTTCTCCCTTTAACGAAGGGTAAATCATTTATTATTATTATTATAAAAATTAGTCAGGTTTTATCCAAGGGAGGAGCGAATAGCTCCACTTCCATTGATCAAGAGTCCTTCATCACTACATCCCTTGAAAGGAGAATAATTAGATACACTAGAAACATAGATGGAAAGAAGCAAAATGGGCAAGAAGTGTTGTTTACCTGTCTGTGTAGGGTGATGAGGCTGTGGCGCTTGCAGTACCAGTAGCAGAAGTGAGCTGTAGAATAGAGCAGCAGCCAGGCCACAAGCACCAGCTGCCACTTCTCCTCCAAGATGAGCACCACGATGATGAAGATCCATCCCAACACCACCAGGAAGGCCAGCACTGCCCCCACCACACGCCAGCTCATCAGCCTAGACTTGCAGGCTGGACTAATACCTTCGTGCGCCTCCACTGCGGCGGCGCCTTGTTCTCTGGTCTCAGTTTCTCCTGCCATACTCCAACTATTTCTCACACAGCAGTTACTCCGCACTTGTTAGCTGGATTATTCTACCTCTCTTAAAGGGTGTTTTTATTAAGTCCCAAAGTCCAGAGGTAGCTTCCCATTCATGCGAAGCAGCAGAGCATGTGATAACGTCCCTCCACAATGATGAGTCAAGAACGACTGGCCACAGGCAGGTCGAGACTCGCACCTGCTGGGAGAAACGCATGCGCAGTTAGTATCATATTAGTGCCAGGATGGCATTCATACTCCTTGATGAGGTGCTCCCTCACTACAATTAAAGTTTTAAGAGCCACTTTTGCCATTGATTGCTTGGTAGAAATTAAGGTCATAACAACGACACAACAATTGTATTGCCGAGATGCAAGGACTTTTTTTTTGTGCTGGGGTAGGAATTAGCTATGTGATTGAAACAAAACTGAAATGTTTTCCTTGACTGAACGAGTATGCAAGAAGACATTTGGGACATTTCTCTAGGGGAGGCTGACACACATGCTAGAGAAGCTAGGAAAGGTGCTAATATAGATACCGAACTGTATGGAAGAGAGAAAACAAAGAGCATTGATGAGCGATGAAACAGGGGAGTCAGTATAATAAATGGTGTTCGTCACTGTATCTGATCCTGTTTGTTACATCTCTGTTATTTTAATGCTGGCTGTCCCAGACGCATTACCCCCTTTTAATTCTGACTTTGGCAGTGTTTGTCAGCGATGTGTCACTGCTTGTCAGTGATGTCATTTTTTGTCAGTGATGTCATTTTTTGTCAGTGATGTGTCAGTGTTTATCCAGTGATGTATCACTGCTTGTCAGTGTCAGTGTTGTGTCACTGCTTGTCAGTGATGTGTCGGTGTTTGTTAGTGATGTGTCACTGCTTGTCAATGATGTGACTCTGGATAAGTTTGACTCAGGATAATTTCCGGGCAACGTAGGTTTTATAGGTAGTTACGAGAGTAAGCTTACATAAACATCCTGAAGGGTGTAGTGGGAGTGAGGTGGGTGGGTGTGGGATGGGTGTGGGATGGGTGTGGGGTGGGTGTGGGATGGGTGTGGAGTAAGCGTGAGGTGTACGTGCAGTGTAACAGGAACAGTAGTGCATGGAGTAAAAGGTGAACGTGAGCTGGAACAACGACTGGAAGGTTAGAGGAGGGTGTGTGGTTGGCGTGTCGTGGGCGTGGGGCGGGCATGGGGGCTGACAGGGACACCAAGTAACACAGCTGACACTGTCCTTGGTCTTGGTTATCGCTACGCAAGCTTTTACTCTGAAGATCAAGGCGTCTGGGCCGTCCACCGTCCCACAAAATGTTCTACCAGAAACAATGATCGTCGTTTTTCCAGTCGTTCCTGAACACCTACGCGAGCTACCTGAAAGCCACACGCGATACTTCCGTCAACCAGTAAGTGCGACGTGGCTAGGTTAGATTAGGCTAGGTTTGGTCAGTTAAGCGAAATATACGCCAGATGCAGACCGGGTGGTACCACCTCCTAGATAATGTGAAGAGATACGCTACAAAAACTGGATGAGCATCATGTGTGCAGGATCGACATCTGGTGTGTGGAGACTGCCTTTATATCAAAGATATGATATTACGTGGGTAAGATAATGTGCTGAAAAGAACTAACTACAGTCTAGCTATCTCTGCCACCTTGAATACGTAGGTGAAATAATGTACATTTCTCACAGGAACAGTGTGTTTGATATTGTATAGGAAAGTTGGAAACAAATCGTTGACAAGAGTAACCAGGATGTGTTCATGATGAAACCGGTTATGTTCTGTAAGAACTACAGCTACTGCTGCTACGCCAGGTTGTTCATGGTCACACTGGTTATCCTTGAATGTTTGTAAACTAACTTCAATGTTTCAGTGGTCGCAGTCAACCACTGTATAGTATCTAACTGATTCCAGTTTTTGCCACATACTTCTTCAACCGGTTCTTAAGCGACAGTTTTTTTCTAGAGTATGTTTATTAGGTAAATACAAGAATTGTTGCCCTTCCCTGCACCTTCTTCAGTTTTTGTACCTGAGGACCAAAAACTAGAGCTAATATTCAAGGTGAGGTCTGACACGTGTGCACTAGTGTAAATGTGGTTTCTGGGGCTTTTGTACTTGGACTTTCTTGCTACGGAATTTAGTATCCTCCTGATTTTGGTGTTCGCAATGAGACATTGTTTAATATAGTTTAAGTTATTGCTCATAACCATGCAGGGTCTAGGATTATAATTCCAGTCATTTTATATACATATTTGACACTGTTATAGCAAACAGGAATTACTTTGCATTTGTCTACACTGCTATAGCAAACAGGAATTACTTTGCATTTGTCTACACTGAAGTTCATCTTCCTGGCCTCTTACCACTGGGTTTACCGTCACGGTCAGTACGAATACTTCAGTATTCCGCTCTGGACACATCGTGATTTCCCTTTCTTTTTAGCATATTTAGCGAACTTTAGATGCTTATTCTATTTCGATCTCATTAAAAAAAAGTCAAATCTCCGTTCAAAATCACTCCTTGTTGTTCATTAGGGAGTCTAAATCAGCCTAATTCAAGTATAATCCTCCTAGCAGGTCAGCCACAGTTTCTGAACTTCCAGTAAGGTCTCAGCGCCTACGTAGCTTCTAGCATAATAGTATTTCACACATCTTCTACCTTACATCTCCTAACACACTCCTCACAGGTTGTATAATCACTATTATAATCTCATCAACAAGCTTCATAACCACTTAATACAACTCATTCAGAAAGAATAAAAAGGCACAATGCAGTAAGTGGAACAGTACACAAATAACCCGCACCGAGGAGACTGCGGATGAGTCATTTGTATATAACTCATTCAAAAACTCTGTAACCCTTGTTATAACTCATTGGAAAACTTTACTGTGTTGTCATTGTCACGATTTCTTTATAGTCTATATAGTCAATATCACAGTTTATTCACAAGATTTATAACCTGAATCGTAGCTCAGTTGAAGTCTATACTTATCACATCCCATTCTCGAGACTAAACCCTATTATTACCTATTTCCGGGAGATCTAGAATGTATATTTGTGAACAAGTTAGGTTTCTAAGTTACATCGGTGGAAAATAGTTACAGAAAGAAAACTAACCTGAATTATAAACGCAATCTAACTCTGAAACACTAGCAAGAAATATTTTGCTTAATCTTTTGAAATAATATAAAAATATGAATAATTAGGTAAAGAAAGGAAACGCACATTTAATGACAAGTGCGGTATTTTAGGATGCCATGAAAAAATATAAAACTGGATTGCAAGAAAAGATGATGTTTAGTGTGTCAGGGAACACCGTCTTCTGACATGGGTCTTAAACTGGTGGTGACCTCGTAACTGGCCGATACACCTGCTAAATTACTCCAGTTACGTTTAAAAATAGGTTAGAGTCGGACCTGCCTAGCATAGGCCAGTAGATCTGCAACAGTGATCCTTCTTTCTTATGTTCTTATGTAATCCATAAAAAACAAAGATGAGAGTACAGTGGTGAATCCCGTGGAAAGGATACACTGAAAGGTATTCAAAACATATAGGAGCGCTGTTAGAATTTCTCACACTAGACTTAAAGTCCACGTGAATGTCAAGATCACTGCATACATATTTACTAATTAATATAAATGGCTGGCCTTGAACTATCCTGCCCTCTCTAGAGAGCTCATTGGCCTCCTCCACTCTGGGCCCCTTCACTTTACTAGAGCTAACTATCACAGCTTGACCTTGCATTACAGTTAACTATCGTAGCTTGACCTTCTGTTACAGAGTTAACTATAGCAACATTACAGAGTTAACTATCGCAGCTGGACCTTGCATTACAGAGTTAACTATCACACAGCATTACAGAATTAACTATCGCAATTGACTTTGCATTAGAGAGTTAACTATCACAGCATTATAGAGTTAACTATCACATCATTACATAGTTAACTATCGCAGCAGGACCTCGCATACAAAAGTAATCAAGAACGAAATATGAAGTTATGAGTCCGTAGAGTTAGGATATTTGAGAGCGACTTCGATGCCTCAGTAACTCCAGCTACGCTGGAAGGAAACCCCTGAGGTTCCCGTAGCCGATGAACGTTTAATGGAAAACTTGACCATATCCTCATTGCTCGACTGAAGTCCCTCTCAGCTCAGGCTGACAGATTTTGACACTATTACGAGTATGTAAAACATTGTGTGGTCGAATATGACGAGGAATCATAACTAGCTTTTGTGTCCACTGCGTAGCTATCACATAGAATATGACAGTAGCACATTGCTAACGTGTCCAGTGATGAGAAAAATGCAGCGTTAAGTAACGTCATTAAAGAAACGTTTAGCTCACCAGGGGATTTATCAATCGCCTCTGGTGGGCGAAACGTTTCTTTAATGAAGTTACTGTAGTTAATGAAGTTAACTGTAAAGTAGAGTATTATGTTCGAGGCTCCAACCCCACGCTATGCATATTTCCATGTATGTGTATATATGAGAAGATGTATGCGTTTATCTGTATATATATATGTGTTTAAGAGTATGGTAGAGTGGACATTCTTTTATTCTTTTAAGTAAGGCTTCGGGTTTCATATTTGCAACAGAGAATGGTCGCACATAGTGGGTGTTCCAGACATGTTATTCAAATAAAGAACTAGACAGTTACATACTACGTGTTGTATATAGCCACACACTGCTGATGCCTCTTCGTAACTCTTCATTTAGTATCAGTAATGTAACCGCACATTGCGGTTGTACACAGATGTGTTTTAATATATACAGAGATGATCATATGCTGGTGGTGTTTGCGTGACTGAGGGAAGAGTAAGTGATCAGTTCCTGCTAGGTGGGAGGAGGATGTTGTCTATGGCGTCTCTGCGTCCTCTTTCTTCATTCATTTTTTTTCTTCTTCTCAGGCTTGGTACACACGTGAGCTATATTTGGAAATTATAATCCGTCTCTTCTTGCATCCTGTTATACTTTTTTCTCCTGAGTTTTTCTTAGAAATGAGCGCATCCTTCGACGCCCTTGATGTGACGCTGACTGGTACCGTTTGTCTCGCTGGCTTTTTTATTTTTCATACACACACACACACACAACACACACCAACCACAACATTTACACACACTACACACACACACACACACACACACACACACCTACGACACACACCTTCCTCCACACACAACACACAACACACACACACACA